TAAAATTAAATTTATTAAAATAATAATGAATTAAAAAAGCATAAAAATTTATTATTAATTAATAAACTCACAAATATATAATCTTTTCAGAAATTATTAGAATTTTTCTTAAAATCTGCCAAAAAATTCGACGGAAACAAATCAGCTGGAAAGCTGCCAGAAAATCTTTCTAAAAATCTGTTAGAAATATTTCATCTCTATCCATCGGAAAGCCGCCAGAAAATCGGCCGAAAATTGGTTTGCCAAAATTTCGTCAAAAATTCTGTCGGTAATGTGAGATTTTCCTGTAGTGTTACTACCTTCAATTAAATTTTAACCCCCCAATGATTCGATTCCTTATCAAAAATTTACTTTTATTGTATTTAACTTCTTAGAAATTGCTACAACTTATGCAGTCAAGTTTAATAAATCATCAAATTCACAATGATCCTCCAGTTGTAGCATCAATTGCATCTCTAAGAGATCTTACTAATCCATTATAAAATATTTGAATAACTAACCAATTAGGTAAAGCATGATGAGGGAATTTTCTAAGTATTTTCTTAAAATCTTCTCAACTCTCATAAATGGATTCTCCATTAAATTGAGCAAAATAAGTTGTATCATTTCTAAGTTTGACAATTTTTAAAGGTGGAAAATACTTGACAAGAAATTTATGAGCCAACTCATTCCAAATAGTTATAGAGTTTGGGTATAAAAAATTCAACCATATCTTAGCTTTATCTCTTAAAGAGAAGATAAACAATATAAGTCTAGTATTTTCATCACCGACGCCATTGTACTTAAATACTAAACAAATTTCTACTAAACTGGCTAAATTTAAATTGGGATCTTCAATAAGAGTTCTCACAAATTGAGAGATTTGAACCATTTGAATAATGATAGATTTTAATTTAAAATTGTTATCTTCAATTATATGTATATTAATTCTCTTGTAAATTCAGTCTATTATAGGGTTTGCTTGATTCTTAAGAGTTTTGGAATAATTTTGATTTAACATAGGTTCAATCATTTTCAAAATCATTTTGATTTTTTAAATTTTAGATAGGGTTCTCTCAATTTCACGATCAAATAATAAAAGTTCCTTTCTATGAAAATAAAGCATGCAACTAAAAATATACAATCAATAATCAAAATAATTAAAAATAAAAAATATAAGTAGGTCAAACTATGCACTTAATTTAATAATACAACTAAAATTTATAAAAGGTGAAGTACTTTCCCGGCAATGGTGTAAAAATATGATGGGGGCTGTGGAGTGAACATTTGAAATGTTAAAATACTTAAGGCTCTATGTTATCTAAACAATGCTTATATTTTCTTTGATATATAAAGAATAATAAATCCCACTTAATATATGCAAATATACGTGTTGAATCAAGTAATAAAGTGATAGAGTAAAGTGTTAAACCTATGAGGAAGCATACATTCTAGCTATCAACTACTATCATTTACTCTAATTATAAAAATTATCCTAATGAAATAAAAAAGTTGGATATGGAGATTCAATCACTGAATAATAGTAAAATAATAGATACAATATTAAAAAAAAAAAACATATATTTTAGATTGATGAATGTAAATTGCATATCTTTTCTAATAAAATCTTATTTGTAAATGTGATTCAAAGCATATGCATCCCTAGATCTCTTTCGAGCTTGTAGGGGTGAAAATGATATATTTTGATATCTTATAATTATATCATCTCCTTAAGAACCTAGCATATTTTACATCCAATGTCTAAGTATATAAATATACTAATTTAATATTCCTAATTATTCTTGCATTCCTCTGTCATGGCTATACATCACACTAGGTTTTAATTACACATATGGCTATGTGAATTAAATAAAAAGAAAATTCTTAAAAACATTATTTAAGTTTATATCACTAGAATCTTCATTAGTACTTAATATGTTTTCTTCATAATTTATCCAAAATTGGATAATTAATTAGCCATATATGAAAAAGAAGATAAGCAAACTCATTTTTATTAAAATCATCGAAGAATAAAAATACTGGAGTGTGATATCACTAGGAATGATTAATGTATCTCATATACACTCTTTCTTCCTTAACATATAGAGTTACTCAAATAAATATTAACTAAACACTCTAATGATTGTATCTAGCACTTATCTAGTCTTCTTTAGACTTGACTTTAAGAGAGAGCTAAAGAAGAACTCTAAAAAAATATTAAAATTAGATAAGTGAATGAACTCCCTCACAAAAATAACATCTCTAGTATTTATAGGATAAAACAAAAATAGTAGTTAGCATTATAGTACCCTTGAAATGAATGTTAACTTTCACATTGGAACTTCTACACAACCATGGTGCTTGCTGATTTGGAACGGTTAATTAATGAACAATCATGTTGCTTTGCTAGAAGATCACGTCCCTTGGAAGCTACAATTACTGTGTCGTGGCATTGATGTCTTTTGAATGCTACGATACTTGATGGAAGATTTTGTGTCAAGGCATTATAGATTGCACCGTTGTAGTGCTTAAAGTTAGAGAACACAATGCTCTCAAGCTAACCATTTTAATGTTATGGCGCCTGAAGATAGTGAACAAGGCATTGCTAGGCAGACCATTTTGATGCCATGGTGCTTGAAGACCATGAACATTGTACTGCCATGTCCAAGTGTATCGTCTTAGTGGTATGGAAGATGGCGTTGTGGCATGGAATTGTCAGACACCGCTGTACTATATGCTACTTTAGAACTTCTGCCATTTTTGAATTTTTCTTGCACACAAGCAGTTAAAATAATATATTTAAATTGATAAAAGCACATATAAAAATATAACATAATTTACACTTATCATTAATATAATAGTTACTCCTAATTTAGAAGATAATTTTGATGAAATAAAGTCCTCAATCAAACCATTGTCAATTAAAATTTATACATGGAAATCACTATTATTACACTGTATTCTGAGAGGTCTTAGATTTTACATTTAGGTAAAAGCATTTAAATTGATTTGTATTGAAACATCCTCACCATGACTTCCCAAATGAAATTCATTAAATTGATCATGTTCATCATTCATCATCATTACTACAAATAGTTTTGTCTTATATATATGGCCTCGATGATATTTTTTATCACAATAAAATCACAAGCCCTTCAAATGAGGCTCATTTAGCTATGCTACCATTAGTGGTGGATTGGTACTACATTCATGGTAATTATTGGAGGTGCTAAGATATTATAATTGATGTTGAGAAAATTACTGGTACTTGTCTTGCTATTGTCACTCTATAAGTTCAATATGTTTAAGTGCTTATTATAATGATTGTAATTGTAATTACCAACTATTTTGAAATAGCATTATGTTACCCCGATTCAAACTAACTTTGGGAAAATTATGGTGGAATAATTGAGATTTGAGTAGCAAGTTCTTCAAAATTATCATAAATTTTTTGTACTAAAGTTGCTTGTTGCATTTTGGCTAATTGCTCTTTTAGATCACGATATAATGATGGTTGTGATCTTTGAATTATAATTCTTTGAAGTGGTTCCATGAATATAGTTCTTCTTTTTATGCATCCATTGGAATCAACTTAAAGCTAGTCCAAACTTGTATACTAATGTATTTTTGAATCTTTGCTCCTTCGACGAGTTGGAATGCTGAAAAAATTACAAGCTTTAAACATTCACCCTCGAGGATGCTCCCCATTCAAGTGTTGCATATCCTTTTTAGCCACTCTAATATCTCTATAAATAGCACTAGTGATAGACTATATTCCAAAGAAAAAAAAAAAGGATAGACCTAAGGATCTTTATTACTGCCATGTCTTTCTTATGCCTATTGCTCCATTTTCTCCCCAATTATAGCTAAACCGAAAGAAACCACGCTAAAAGTATTTCCATTCACAACATCTATTCCTTATTTTTATTCAATAGCTTATACATTTTTCAATGCTTTTATAGTTTGATGGGTACTATTTTCCATCTCCGCACCTTTATAATCACCTAGTGAAAATTGGATAAATTAGACTTGAACCCTATAGAGGCACCAATGAGGTATACTCAAGAGCTCTAGCTCTTTAAGTAGCCACTCACTCTAGAGAAGCCCATAGTCTTCAAGGAAGAAGAGAATATAAGAAAAAGAAAATAGTAGGAAAGTTAACTCCGAGCTACCTTACCATTTCTCTCTCTTTATTTATACAATTTTCAAATGCTTACAAACATCCTTCTAATAAAATAACTACCAATTGAATAAAAAGCATTAAAAACAAATATGACACTAAATGAATTTAGTTATTATAGCTATATTAAGAAAGCTCTTCACTGATTCTATTACAATTAACAATTTAAATAGTTACACAACAAACTAACAAAGGGTATTGCTAATTTATTACAAGTCCTATGTGGGCTTCCTCATGTTCTTTTCTTTTTATATACTTGTTTATGTTGTTAGCTTCGTATCTGATATCAATAATTAAAGTCATACAAATTAATTTTCCCAATGAAGGAGAACTCATAAAATGAACTCACCCAAACATATCAAATTTGCTCTACAACTCAATGTGCAATCTTCAATGACTTCCAAATAAGCTTCATTCTAAAAAAGTCATAATTTACTTAAACTCATCAATAATTCTCTAGGTTCTTTGATGGGATATAAGCAGTTAAATTTATTTATTTTATGGGACTCACTATGTCTTGTTATATATTTTTCATTTGTGAGTCTTGTTATATATTTTTCATTTGTGTTTAGCATTTCCTATGGCAATATGCCTTGAAAAAAAATATTTAAAAAAGAGATCAAAAGTTAAATAATATTCCTTATCATTGAATTGCTAGTCTAGGCTATTTTGTTTCTTCTAATATCTACCAAATAAACATTGTCTAATAGTATATTACCACCCTCTTCTTTGTAGTTAAATATCATTCCTCTCATATATCTTGTGAGGATCTACTCCATTTCAGAGGAGATTTGCTCCATATTAGAGTATACTTAATTTTTTTTTATTTCATGGGAGTGTGTGGATCGTTAAAGTTTACTTCCATCAACTATTCTTTTTCCTTTCACTTAGGAGGGAGATAAGATAAAGAAGTTAAAGATGGAGACACATGTTTAAGTTTTCTTTACAACTTGGCCCTTAGAACTAGAGGTGTTCAAAGAGAGAAACCTTCTCATTATTTTGGTCAATATATGGGTATCTGAAATGACACTTACATTATAAATTTCATAGTCCATTTATTTTTTCCTTCTTTTTATCAACATCAAGAGTTTTTTAGTTGAAGGAAACAAGAAGAGTTTAAATTGCAGGAACCCATAATAAACCATGTTTTCTTTTTTCTTCAGCATAAGTTCTCTAAAACTATGATTTTGAGAGCTTAGAGAAAACCAACACCTAATGATCATATGCATGGATGGATATCTTAACAACCATTTTTCTTATATGAAGTGAAGGAAAATGTTGAGCAATATGGAACATAATCTTCCCTTATGTATGTGTATTAAAGGGAGAGGGCCCTTGAAGATAGCCTCAGCTTTTGCCAATCCACTACCAAACCATAATGTATTATTTATAGCAAATTGAATTGAAAGTGATGATGATAAGATCAAAGATACTCCATTATGCACGTTAATAGTAAA